GACTCGAGAGCGGGGGGTGCAAGGCGTCTGGGTGATCAGGCCAGGCGTTCACTCAATGCGAATCCCCAGTGAGAGAGGGGCTGCCTGCCTGTTTTATTGCCTGTGAACTTATCACCCCATAGGTTGGTTTTTGCTGCAGTGGGTGGAGTAGCAGGCCTGAGCACAAGCCAGCCCATTGGCTGATCTTTTACTGCAATGGGTGGAGCGAGCAGGGGAAGATTATTAATTTACATGCCCTTATATGGAAAACACTCCACCTCACAGACAGAGCCCCCTATTCCAGCCTTAGAGGTATTACAGGCTATGGCTCCCTGCGACGGGCAGCCATTGTTGTAGTTCTGACTCGGACATTATTCTGCAGTGTTCTTTTACTTTTTTCTACAACCCCCCCTCTCCCAACTTCTAATGTGAAGTACTGTTATGACTATTTCTCCCTGAAATATGTACTATACCTTTGGCCCTTCTGATTGGTGTGTGGAGGGGGAACTCAGAAGATGAAATCTCTAAATGGAAACTCCTTTGCTCTGGAAATGATTTTTTACATATCACTAGGGACTGCGACCATCCTCTGCTGACCCACATCACAACCAGATCCAGCAGCAGGATGTGAAGGAAGAACAGTTCAAAGACTGTCAGTGGGATCTGGCTAGAAGGAATGATGAGATGAAAGAAGAGGTAAAAAATACATCCATCTTAGTTGGCCATGGCCATTTTATTATACTGATTGGCAATTGTACTTTCCATGTGAAAAGTAATATTCTTTCCCCTGTCCACAAGCAAAATATTATCTGGGTTCATGTGCAGGTTGTATTGCACTACCACCAGCTGGTTTAGTCCTGGGACAAGAAACTGATTTGAGTCACCATAAGAAAGAGCACAGTCCAGATTCTGATTTCACTTCCACTGAAGTCAATAGAATTGTATTATTATAAAAGCAGTGGGAAGAGAATGAGTTCCCATGTGTACAAACTAAAAGATGTAGTATTCTCTTATCTTTTTTTCCCCAGCGTCATCCTTCACTACCACATTTATAGATGCTGTTTGTGATATATTGTTATCCAGAGAAGTTACTTGTATTTTTTATATAAACTGTACTTGATCCTGTGATGCTTTTGTATGATTGATAAAACAGTAATCCTTACTTTTCATATAAAAACACAAATATTACATGCTATTGTATTTGATTTATTATAAAGTCATTTGTTAAATTGTATGTATCTGTTACACACAAAATTTACATTACAATAATATTAAAGTAGGATCAACATTATTATATTTCATTGTACATTCAGTCTGGATGTCCATGTATTATTTTCACTTAACCAGTGTTGTTTTTAAGGGAAACTACATGCACAAATATTCTAAACTTGGTGCTGTTTAACAGGAATACCTGCAACAACTACAGAAAATTAGACAACAGTACTACAGTGATGTAAAAGAACTAAGATGCAAAGCAGAAGCACTGCAGGTAACAACTCTCATATACACAGATCCAGAAGGGATCATTTAAAATCAATATCTAATGTATCCGGTAACTGAAACCAACATTTTGTAAATACACTCTTTAGGAGAATCCAAAAATAAGAGACAAAACCTATCTTATAAAAGAAGGAAAATCTGGAGGCCAGCCTGATCCAAAAGATACTCCTCGAAGAATAGAAGAACCAGTCCAGGTACCAACATTGTACAAATAGTTTGAACACATTACCACAAAATAACTAACATAAAGTAAGGTATTTATCTATTTCTGAGAAGTGGTAGAAGTCAAGGAACTAAGGAACACATGAAAAATAACTTAGAACGGATAGTCACTTTTTACTGCATGTGAGATTTTATATGCCTATGTTCACTTTGTCTAGCTTGAGAAGTTTCTCTCTTTCGGTCCTTGTTTGTTCAGGTCAATGTTGTTTCTCCCCAGCTTTTACTGGGATGTACTTTTGCTTTAATTAAAGAAATCTATTCCTTTTTTCATGCTTTAAAAGTGGTATGCAGTGGAATTTGCTCACAACAGCAGATTTTCATGGATTTGGAGGGCTCTATACTGGTTCAATTTTGCCGTGGAGGGACAAGACTTATAGAGACTGCACAGGGAGAGAGTTAAAGCCCAATACTATTGGGTTTTCTTGGCCAGGAAAAAACTGGGGAACAAGCTGGAGGCAGGGCCAAAAAATCCTCTGTTGCATAGATCCTCCACTTCTTCCCCACCAAGGGCGGAGCAGTTCTTAGCGGGGACTAGCAGCTGAAGAGTGGCTCCCTTCTTGCTTTACAGCCTTTTGGGATAGGAGGACAGCATTCCTTATCCTTCAGTCACCAGAGAGTTCTGCAGCAGCCAGCTAGCCCAGTTACTTGGGCTGGAGAAAGGATTTTATCCAGAGTGAAATACCGTTCAGAAGAAAGACGAATGAAAACCTAGCTTGTTAAAGGGTATTTCAATGTGCAATGCGTATTGAAATTCTAATCATACTGAATATCCAGTTTTAGTGGATTTGTTCTGTGAAGAATCTACCTTGTTATAAGAGTTTGATTATTTCTTTTTTATAGGATGATTATCAGGGAGTTGTGACAGGAGCTTGTGGAAAACAGACATTTACATTTGGAATGGGAGATGCCAGGGCCCTATGCAATTCAAAGGCATGACCTGGCCCCCCAAACTCTCCGTCATGTTGCAGGGTGGTGGAGAGGGGGCAAGAGGCAGGCAGCTGCTTCAGGAATTTCTAGTCAATTACACTGCCCTGGACTGGATCCACAGCCTACAGGCTCTCAGTCTACCTTTCCTCTCTACTGCCCGGAGGGGGGCCAGGAGAGGGTAGGGTTCGGCGGGGGTGAGCTGAACCCTCCCTCCTCTTGCAGGGAGGGAAAGCCTGCAAGCGGCAGAACGAGAGGGAGGGAGAGGCAGGCAGCTGTTTCAAGAAGTTCTAATCAATTACACTGCCCCAGCAACAGGCTCGCAATCTACCTTTCCTCTCTACTGCCTAAGGGGGAGGAGGGCGGTGGGAACGGGTAGATCCGCAGGTGACAGGCTGCTGCTGAAACTCACAAGAGATCATCTCCCCTCCCTGTCCCTGCTGCTTTTACCAGTAGACCGATAGTCCAGGATCAAAAGATCTCTTTTCTGATCTCTTGTGAGTTTCAGCAGCAGCCTGTCACCTGCGGATCTACCCATTCCCACCCCCCACTCCCCTTCTAGGCAGTAGAGAGGAAAGGTAGATTGACAGCCTGTCAGCTGTGGATCCAGCCGGAGTAAGTGTAACTGATTAGAACGTCCTGAATACAGCTGCCTGCCTCTCGCCGCCTCTCCCCTTCCGCCACTCGCAGGCTTTGCCTCCCTGCAGTAGGAGAGAGGGTTTGGCACTCCCCCGCTTCCCGTCCGACGAGACCCGCCCCTGCCAGAGTACCTCCTGATAGTCCGGCATTTCTGATAATCTGGCACCACCTGGGTCCCAAGGGTGCTGGATTATCAGAAGTCTACTGTAGTTTCTTTCTTTATACTAGAGGCAACATAGTATAGCGAAACCACTTTCATCTGGAACCTGATTCAATGACCATTTAAATCAAAGGTACAGTCAGTTTATAAGAAATCAGGATTACAACAGCACAGAACCCTTTCTTCTAACATCTGATAGCTAGCACAATGCACCTGTGGGCTTAGCACCTGCTTGACTTCAGCTGTGTTCCTGGGCTTTCTCCACGTATTTTTCTTGTTTCACGTGTTCATTAAAATCTGGAAATTGTTTAAATATTAGGGAGATGGTGATGCACCTGGCCCCTTAGGATAATGCTAATTTTCTTTGTTTATTTGACAGATAGCTAATACAGAGGGGAAATGTGTGTAGTCGACAAAAATAACTGATAAGCCCAGGCTTATCGTGAAGTCGTCTACATGATGACATCCCTGCCATTAACCAAATGCTTCATACATAGTTTATACATACTCTGGCTCTGAGGAGTGGATGTATAATTATTCTTTTTGAACTTTGAGCATTTTCTTTTCATTCAAGGATATTGAACAAAATTTGAAATGTATCATACTACAGAACTGTCAAGAGAGACGAGTCCTGGAAAAGAAACATAAAACAAAGGTAATTGAGATAATTTCTCTACTTTCTTTTCCTTTCCTCAATTGGTCTCAGATGGTCCCACTATGCCATGGTAGCTCTAGAAAGCAGATTGTGTGCAAGTCAACACCAATGCTACTTTATGGATCAGTGGATCAGAGTTTCTGTGGGAGCAAAAGGTCATCAAGGAAAGTAGCATGGTAACACAGCCCTGCCCCTAACTTGATAGTGACTCCCATTAGATACTCTAGAGCAAAGGTGGGGATCCTTTATGGGGTTGGGGGCCACTGATCCACAGAAAAATCAGTTGGGGGCCGCACACAAGTGAGAAAAAACAAAAAAAACCCTCACTGACGTGGCCTTTGACTGAGAAGGAGAAAGACCCTCCCCACATTCCCCTCGCACACCAGAGCCTAGAAGAGCCCAGCCTAGAAGATTTTGTGTGCTCCCGCCCTGTGGTGGGGGGTAGGAGCACCAGTGCGGGCTCCCCAATGCTGAGCCTCAGGGGCCAGATCCAGCCCAGCCACATCTGGCCTCTGAGCCTGAGGTTCTCCACCCCTGCTCTAGAGTGACTCTGGGTGAAGTAATATTTTTTATTGGACTAATTTCTCTTGGTGAGAGAGACCACCCGAAGAAGAGCTTCGTGTGGCAAGCTTGTCTCTCTCCAACAGAAGTTGATCCAATAAGAGATACTTGCCTTATTCCACCTTGTGTGTCGAATATCCCAGCACCAACAAATACTTTAGTTATCTATTTATCAGGGTACACTAGTACTGTATTAAAACAGTCCAGTTGAATTCAGGTTCTCTCACTGTTAGGTCAGACTGTTAATCCGTTAACATTTCCTTTGTAAATCATTACTTCTTACAGTAGAACCTCAGAGTTACGGACACCTCAGAAATGAAGGTTGTCCATGACCCTCAGAGTTACGGACACCTCAGAAATGGAGGTTGTCCATGACTCTAAAATCCTAGAACTGGAAGGGACCTTGAGAGGTCATAGAGTCCAGTCCCCTGCTCCCACGGCAGAACCAAGCACTGTCTAGAATGATCATCCCTGACAGGTGTCTGTCTAACCTGCTCTTAAATATCTCCAATGTAGAAATGTTCATAACACTGAACAAAGTACAGTTTGGGCCTCAGATCCAGCAGACCAGGATTCAGCATCAACCGAGCTTCCTACTCAGCCCCACATAAGTTTACAAGCTTGTCCCCCTGAGAGAGAGACTGCCTGTCTGCCTCCCTCCCTCCTGGCTGGGGAATGGGGTGGGGGAGGAGGGATTAAGTTAAAAACAGCATGTCCCCCTCCTGACAGTATTTGCTTATATTTTTGTCTCTGCTGCTGTCTAATTGGCTATTTCTGGTTTCACATGGTGTCCAGTTGACTAGTCAGTTCATAACTCTTGTGTTTATATCTCTGAGGTTTTACTGTATCTTTCTACTGTAATCTGAATGCTAGACGCAAATAAAAATGTTAAATGAATTTATATGAGATGTCAGGAAAGCTTTTCCAACATTATCAATTAAGCATTGGAATAAGCCTTCTAAGAGAAGTTATTGCAGACCAGGCACTCCCGGCATTCAAAATTTAGATGGGACAGGATTCTTGAGAACACAGTAGAGACCAATCCTGTGTATGAAAAAGGGGGGAATTAAATGGTTATTTAATAGGACATTTCTTTAAATCTCTGACAATCATATGAAAATATACATTAGCTATCTAGAAGATTGTCCCTTTAAAAAAAAAAGAGGAATAGCAATGTCAATTTCACTAAGTGTTCCTTCCCTGAAACTATCTGCTAGCATTTTTGGCTACATTTTTCAATTTTGAAAACTTTTTCCCCCCTTCCCTGTTGCTGTGTGAAAGACACAAACATGGGAAACTAACCATGTTGAAACTGACTATACAGAAATATCTGTCAAACATACAAAGTGAACCAACAAGGAAATGTTTTTCTAATCTATTCAGTTGTAATTTTTAATTGTAATTTGTAATAAACAATAGATAAATAATTTTCATAGACAAGTAATTTTTGAATTTGTAGTGCCTATTAAGCTGCACAGATTGTAATGAACTTCTTTAATAAATTATATGAACTTCTTTTTTTAGGGAGGAATAAAATTTGAAATTAATTTAGATGTATACGAGCAAGAAGAGGTACGTTGTTTCTATACTGTAAACACATTTGTTTTAATAGTCTGAATATGTGATAGCAGCTCCAAGCTGTTACTAGGGTTCCATTATAATCCTCCTCCCCCTTTTCTTATAATGAAACCTTTCCATTTGATATTGTGCATGTATGATCATCTGCCAGTAAGGGAGACTTTTGGAGGGGGAAGTTTGAGGGTGATTGGCTGAAGGCATAAATAAGAAACAAAAGTATGAAAGCTCAGAATAATTTTACTTTTGTTCAAGTTTTTTGGGGGAATATTGTATCTCAAAAGTGATTTAGTCTGCAAAGTCCAAATTTGGTTTATAATTGACTTCAATAAGGTGCCTTTGAGTATTTCTAAAACATGTAAATGGCTCTACTTTTGGAGCTGCTAGCTACCATTGTTTTGAATCAGTAGTTGTTCTATAGAATTCAAAAAACACACAGCATTTCTGAAGAACTTTGTACTATATATAAGCTCTGTAATATCCCTGTCAAGTATATAAACTTCACAGAGTCCCTGACAGACTCTTTCTGTACTTGTAAGCTGTGCTGAAAGAGATTCCCCATGTGGTCTCAATTGTCTGTTATGCTTATCAATTGCACAGAATCAAAGAGGGTCACGGGAGCCCACAGCCTTTCTGGTCTTGTAGAGTTATAACTATAGAATCCTAAGACCTGGTAAGTTTTTGTGATTCTGGTTATTCTGTTGGAGTTTGCTACATTTTCAAGCTCTTAAGATCCAGATGATCACCTGCAGAGATTATAAGCACAAGAGGACCATAGAGACCTGTCAGAACTGGTGGTACAAGTGCAGTGTGTAGAAGCTTTAGCAGAAATAGGGCTGCAGTCAGAACTTTTGCCTAATGTAATTTATGTGGAGCCTCTAAAGCTACTGTGTATGTCATGGTTCAGATAGCTCTTCTTCCCTTCTGGGAATTGAGCTTCTCAGGCAAGACATACTGCTATTCCCTAGTTATGGCTACTTACTACTTTTAGAAAAATTATTTATAAGCCTGTACTGAGTTTGCAGAAAACCTGATTTTATACCCTTTTTAGTGGGATGTTGGCCTGGCTTATAAATAAAGAAGCGACTGTCTAGGAAGGAGCATGGCGGAAAGGGATCTAGGGGTCATAGTGGACCACAAGTTGAATATGAGTCAACAGTGTGATGCTGTTGCCAAAAAAGCAAATATGATTCTAGGTTGTATCAACAGGTGTGTTGTAAGCAAAACTCGTGAAGTCATTCTGCCGCTCTATTCTGCACTAGTTAGGCCTCAGCTGGAGTACTGTGTCCAGTTCTGGGCGCCACATTTCAAGAAAGATGTGGAGAAATTGGAAAGGGTACAGAGAAGAGTGACAAGAATGATTAAAGGTCTAGAGAAGCCTATGAAGCCAGGCTTCATGAACTGGGCTTGTTTAGTTTGGAAAAAAGAAGATTAAGGGGGGACATGATAGCGGTTTTCAAATATCTAAAAGGGTGTCACAAGGAGGAAGGAGAAAATTTGTTCCTCTTGGTTTCTGAGGACAGGACATGGAGTAATGGGCTTAAAGTGCAGCAGGGGAGGTTTAGATTGGACATTAGGAAAACATTCCTAACTGTCAGGGTGGTCAAATATTGGAATAAATTGCCAAGGGAGGTGGTGGAATCTCCCTCTCTGGAGATATTTAAGAACAGGTTAGATAGACATCTGTCAGGGATGGTGTAGACGGAGCTTGATCCTGCCTTGAGGGCGGGGGGCTGGACTCGATGACCTCTCGAGGTCCCTTCCAGTCCTATTATTCTATGATTCTATGATTCAAAGGGGGAGGACAACATGGAGCCCGAGATCATCTGATTACTCCCCAGCTGACTCTGGGCTCCACTGCCCCTTTGAAACGTGCAGAGGTGGTGTTTCCAAGGAGCAGCCACCTCACAGCTGAGCCAGGGGTCAGCTGTGTGGCGGCTGCCCCTTAGAAACACCACCTCCACATGTTTCAAAGGGGCAGTGGAGCCTGAGGTCAGGTGGGGACTCCCCAGCTGGTCCCTAGCTCCTTGAGGCAATTCCCCAGAACTCGGGGTCAGATGGTGAATCTACACAATGCTTTTTTGTGCAAAAACCTCTTGCGCAAAAGGGAAAGGAAGAGGAAATGCAAATGAGAGCGTGCCATATGCAAATGAGCATTCCATTTGCATTTGGTCTTCCACAAGAGGCTCGTAGTGTAGACGTAGCGTAGCCGATCCCGGGCTCCATGTTGTGCTGCTCTATTGAAATGCTGTGGCGGCATTTCAAAGGGGAGGGGCACACGATTAATCTCGATTTATTTTTATTAATCACGCGATTAATCACAATTAAATTTTTTAATTGCCTGACAGTCCTAAATATATATGATAGGAAGCTCTTTCATCATTCTTTTATTGAACTAACTTGCTCAAAGAAGTTGGGCCTAAGTCACTGCTGCATTACTCCTGTTTAGCGCTCTTTAGATTTCAATGGACAGGGAGTGGGGAATCACAAGCACAGAACATGAATAATGCAATGGTAAATCACTTTGGCTACGTCTACACTGGCCCCTTTTCCGAAAGGGGCATGTTAATTTCAGTGATCGTAATAGGGAAATCCGCGGGGGATTTAAATATCCCCCGCGGCATTTAAATAAAAATGTCCGCCGCTTTTTTCCGGCTTTTAGAAAAGCTGGAAAAGAGCGTCTACACTGGCCCCGATCCTCCGGAAAAAGCGCCCTTTTCCGGAGGATCTTTGAAGTAGGAATAAGATCTGCCCGTGCACCTGAAAACATTTGGGAAGTGGGGGGGTGGAGGCAGAGGAATCAATGAAAATGGGAATGAAGTCCCTGCCCAATATTTGTGTTTTCTGTTTTTTACTAAAATCTGTTTTGTTTCAGGAACCAGAGAAACTTAATGATACATTAGCTTTTGAGGATGGTCAGAATCTTAAGGAGAAATGGATGAAGATCTCTGAAGATCACACACAAAATACTCTGAAAGAACTATGCTTTCAGGAAGCAGGTATTACTTAGGGCATGTTTTCACTGAATGATGGGCAGTGATTGATCCACAGGGGTTGATGTATCACATTTAGTATAGCGTAATCCACTCTGGTACTCTACCAAAATGAGAAGAGTAAGCAGAGTCGGTGAGAGAACGTAAGCTGTTGACTTACCACTGTGAAGATACTGCAGTGAGCAGACCTAAGTCCGTCAACTTCAGCTATGTAACTAGCATAGCTGAAGTTGCATAACCTAGGTCAATAGCCCACAGTAGTGTTGACAAGGCATTAGGGAACCATAGGGCAAGTGAATATATTGATAGTGGAAATTAATTAGTAGCTACACTCAAATTCAGTCAGTGACTCTCATTATAGGGGATCCTTGTTTACAGGATTTGTTTCCAATATATGTCGTGGTTAGAATCATACTAACATCTGTCTAAAGGAGCATGAAATATTTATTTCTTCTTTTCTGTCCTGCAGAGGCTGGCACTGTAGATAATGCCGTAGCAAACAGAAAACAATGGGAAGCTAGAGCCCCGCAGACTCTCCTGGATTTTCTAGCTGAGGCAGATGTCACATCTGTCTGCTCTACAATGCCTGAAAGTGAATGTGGTATGAATTTGTTGCTTTTTACTGTGTGTGGAAAAAGACCAAATTAATCCAGCCAAACTGGTTATAGACATCTAAACAAGTATTTAGATTTGTGAATTTCACAGCAGAATATTCGTGTTGTTATGAACGATCACATATCCAGTCAAAAGATATAATAATTTCCCATTTGTTCTAATGTGTGTGTAAAATGGGGAGAATGCTACTTTCCACCTTTTGTCAGTGAAGTAGGGATGGAGTCATGGTCCTGCTCCTGTTTCTGCACTGATACATAGAAATATAATGTGAGATGGCCGAGTGCCTGTTGCACCCTTCTATAGGGAGGTGGCTGTTGTGCTCCATCTTTTCAGAGGCGGATGCTCTGGCAGTTATGGGTGCAATTTAATCCTAATTCATTGTGGGTGAAAACCTGCATAGCTAATATTGGCTGTTGGGCTGAGGCCCAACTAAAGCCTGGCCTCAGCCCAATTTTATAGCCACCATTCTCCCAGCTGAAGAGACTGTCATGGAACTGCCCTGAGAACTTTAATCCCTAGTTGTCCAGGGGCTTGCTATTTAGTGTTGTGGAAAACACTAAAACACTGCTACTCTTGCATTGACTGAAGATTTAGTCTGTCTGTATAGTAACTACTTGAAGATTTACCTGGCATTGCACGGGCAGGTTGAAATTTCTTATGTGCAACACCAAAATTGAGAGTGTGTGTGGATGTGCACTGCCAATACAAACAAAACACACCCACACATTTTATTTTAAGCAGTCTGTATGTGTGGAAGAAACTACATTAAAACAAGACACCTGTGTCTAGTTGCTGTGATGTACCCTTAGTGACTACAAAGGTGCTGTACAAAGTAGGGAATTAGCCTTGTTCCACCTGAGGAAGAGTAGAAGCCCCAGATTCTGGCTTTAGGGTTTGTTGACAGATGCATGTTTCAAAGAGCTTGCAAATAAGGTTTTATCCTACAAATCTAGCATCACACCAAGTACTTGCTACTCCTGGCTCACAAGACCCAGATTTTGACCACATAGCAAAGATCTGGCCTTAATGCAATACAATTTTTCATGTGTTGATTAGTAACACAGGATTTTAAAAAATCGTTAAGTTCAGAGTTTTAGATATCTGCAACACTTCAAAAAAATCTGTTAAAAGAAACTTTTTCTTTTTTATCTTAAGCCATTAATAGCTATGTAAACTTTGTTTGAAATGCAATCATGCAAATCCTCCAGGTACACACAACTCCCATGCAGCCTGCTTTCTCCACCTCTCTCCCACCCAGCCAACCAGAGAGGACTGCAGCAAGTGAGTCAGGATACCCCTGCCTCCACCTCACTGCACAGATGCCAGCTCACACCCACCACCCCCAAGCAGTCAGCTCCTTACCTCCCCCTTCCCAGCCCAGGAGGGTTGAAGAGACTGATGGGTTTTTCTTTCTCTCTCTCTCTCTCTCTCTCCCCCCTCTGGCAGATAGGACTCTCCAAACTCCCCTGCCCTCTGACTTCCACCCAAGCCTATTAATTACTCCCTCCCTCCCCCCTGCCACTTATTTCCTGCTTATATTGCCTGCTTATGTGCTCTGGAAGCTCTTCAGTTCAAGAAGTGCAGCTCTGTTTAGCTGCTGCTTACAGACATCCTACCCCTACCGCTGGTCAGCTGAGTTCCCTGCCTGCACAGTAGCTTTCAACCTGTGAGCAGGGCTCAGAAAATAGCTGTGCAGCTTAGAGGGAACTTTTTTTTTTTTTAAGTAAAACAAAAATGTACATTTTTCATTTAAATCATTGCACTGGGGTGGGGCTGGGGTTCAGTATGTAGACTGCCCTGGGAAGAGAGGAATACCCCAGTCCTCTCTCACTGCTGAAGGTTGGGGCCAGGTGAGAAGCGCCTCTCCATGGAAACAGCAGCGCCAGCAGGCACAGCTGGGGGAGGGGTGCATGTCCCCCAGCTGGGGCAGCTCCAGGTTCATGTGTTCCTTGCACTCCAAAGTGAGGAATGCAGCAAACTGTCCACTTTCCCCTCATCCCTGACGAAGGAGAACAACCAGCAATGTTCCTGTACAAATCAGGGGGAGGGGGAGTTTCAGTACCTCCATCCTCCCTAAAGAGCACCTGGGGGGTGGGAGGCTTGGAGCTAGGGCAGTCCTGGATGGGAGGGGTTCCCCAAGCCAGCCCCTTTCACCTTTCTCGTGATTCTCTCTCTTTTTTGTATGATTTTATGAGAAGCAATCCCATTCCAGGCACATCCCATTTTCCTGGTACAACCAAACTCTGATCTTGCTTTAAATTATGATAAGAGGAAGTTGTATACGTGGTCCTAGCTCTTATGTAGGAGGAATCCTTGAACAGACAGATGGACAGAGAAACTGTAAACTGTACAGATTGTGTGTGATTTTGAGTTCAAGTTTGTTCTGGCAGACTCCTAAGTTTGTACAGGGCTAAACATCATTATGGTACTCAATAAATACAGGCTGGACCTTCCTGACCAGTACCTAACTGTTACCAAACTAGAGAATTTGCAGGACTAGTGTAGGTTATTGTCGGCCCCTCTGTTGCTACTGGCTGTGGGGCTAGAATTGATGGAGTGTGGGTAGAGGTTTGGGGGTCCCACTCCCTTTCCCCAAGCATCCCATATCCCTGCTTCTCTCCATCCCTGAGCTTAAATGCCACAAATGAGCTATTTGCAACACAGTGAAGGAGTTGTTGAGTGTGGGACCCCTGGCTATTCCTTGTAAGTGCTCCAGCCTCAAAGCAACCACAGATAAGAGGGAAGTCCAGATTATGAGATTCAACTTGTAGCAGTACTAGCTATATCCTTCTCCACAAAAACACTCACCCGAGGGCAAAGATAGCAGCAGTTTTTCAAGGCTTCAAGACCTCCTATCATCTCTCCTCCAGCGGCAAGGATTAGTGACAGGGTAAATTGAGTGCAGGGGTGTATAAGAGAAACATAGAACTATCCTGTAGCTTCTGGTATATCCCAGGGGAAGACCAGCTGGCTACACTGTGTGCTGGCTTCACTTCCCCTTCACATGCAGGCTTCTTACTGAAGAACCTCCAAGGGATCTCTAAGTGTGCAGTACAGTTATTAGGGTACTTTATGCCAGTAAATGTTAGGATAGAGTGTCCCAGCAGCCTCACAGCTGCCTGGAACTAGCATGGAAGGGCTTCCATGAGCCTCAGAGATTGGAGCTAAAACATGTTTGCTCCTCTCCAGTGTACGTAGATTTAGGGACTGCACCATCCCTTTTTGTTTCCTATCTTTGATTATACATGTGGGGCACTAGGGATGTTAACGGTTAACTGATTAAGGTTGATGCTTATCAGGTAATGAGTGATACTTACTGGGTAACAGTTACCCAGTGGCCTGCTGCAGGCAGAGAGCTGCTCCAGCCTTGCCAGGTCCCTCCAGCCCAGCGCGCCTCCCACCCCCCATTTAATCAGTTAACTAGTTGAACTTAATGTTTACTGGTTAACTAACTAAGCTGGATTTTATATCCCTATTAGGGACACCCTTCTTTGCAGCTCTCTCAGCCATTAATGCACTAGTGAGAAAGAGATCAGGAATTAGTCAATGGAGTTGCGCCTGCTTACATAAGGTTAGAATTGCAGAAGGCTATTTTGCTTTATTGAAAATGTAATAATTCTTGCAGTAATATTTTATAACAAGGGCAAAGTATTTAATCCTATTTTTTTTGTCGTAGAAACAAAAAGTGTTAACTGATCATTAGAAACTTTGGTAGCAGATACTCCAGAAGCAGGCCTTCCTTGCAATACCAGTCACATCAAATATTGCAGCTAAAGCAGTCTGCTTAGAAAAGGAAAATCCCACAAGGAAAGCAGTTGGCTACTTAAAGAGCCAAATAAATGAAAAACTCCACAAAAAATGAAAATTCTGAAGTTGACAAGGGAAAATGGCAATAATGCTAAGTTACTGTCACATTTTATCATGTGCAGTGTGACCTGATGTTCCTCCTGTTTCCTAGCTGGCCAGGTTAATGTCATGTTTGAAGAAATCCCAAAAACCAGGAAACAGTGGAAAAAAGAAGCACCGAGAACACTGCTGAATATCTTAGCACAAGCAGAACTGTCTAATGGCTCCTTTGGCAGGACTGAAGAGGAATCTGGTAGGATACTTATTATTGTAAATTATAAGGATGTCATTAATTTTACTAAATATTTTGATGATGGAGATGGAAATAAGCTATCAAGACGTTCAGCATCTTCAGAGGGAGTTTTTCTTTGATTATACTGTTCTTTTTGTAGATGGCAGTCGACTTGTGTGAAAATATTTTAGCCACTTGGCAAACTATTAAGACAGAAGAGAGGGGTTCAGTCATTTAGTAGATGATTAGTATTTTAGAGGTAGGAATCCAGACGGTATTATGACTGCCACCGAATTTTACTTCAGAGCCAGCATGCTTTTTCTATCCAGTCTTAGTTTGACAAATTAATCAGTTTCATTTTGTCAAAGGACAAGAACTAGATTAGAATACAAACTTAACCACGGTAGGGGAAAAAACAAACCTACCTCTAGTAATGAACATTTTTCAAGACAATCTTCCACACATTACACGCTGCATCCTGGTTTTGGATACATGAACATAAATTGCTATAGATCTTTAACAAAAGATAGCATATCCTGGAATGAGCACAATAATTGACTTTGCCTGACTGAACATGGTATACAGTGCTATATATAAGATATCAGCATTGAGCTCTAATCAGTCAGGTTACAGCATACCATTAAGTGTGATGTTTTTAAAAAAGAAAAAAGAAACAGCACAAAGTTCTAATGTACATTGTAAGTGTAAACCAATGTTCATAACCTTATTAGTGCAATTGGAAATAAGTATGTTTTGCATGCTCCAATGCAAATTAACTGAACATACAATTAGATGCAGGCCTTTAAAACCAGTTCATTTGCATGTGTCAAACATCAGCATTTTAAATGGATTATAAGGAAAACTTCATTTGAAGTTACACAATCAGTACTCCTTGGCTAATTAACATGTATGCACTCTCTCAGCACATCAGGCTATTTTAAAAAGTACACCATCCTGACAATATTGTTCCTTCCCTATAGCTAGCCTGGTTCAAATCTGTTAAGAGTAAGACCTCACTATCTATATTCAACAAGCCAGAGTGAGTGCTGTAACAGTCACAAACTTTTAGATGATTTATCTTTGCTATTAAGCCTAATAAATCAGACTTAAGACCCAATTCTGCCAACTTTGCTCACATTAAATACTTTGGTACCCAAACAGTCACATTATTCACAGTTGGATATTTGCAAATAAGGCTCTTAAGCAACATCAGGGCAACTTTAAAACTTTATACTTTCAGATCGAGGTTGTCCTCTGCACCCTAGGTTTTGTGTTAGAAAGTAAACATGATCAGGGAGCTATACCTATATAAATATTTCTGTGAATAGCAAGAGCAGCCTGCTATTTATATTGAAAGGACCTTGTTAAAATCCAAAGAATTTCTGTAGTGATATTAAATAATTTTATGTACGCTTATCAATTATTTTATTTTTATATTTATAAAAAGTACCTTTTGTCCCCCTTCTCCAGAAGGGACATTAACACTCTGGTTGCCAAAGGAGAATAATGAGGATAAAGCTGAATCAAGTTCCACTCTTGATACTGATGAAAATGGACTTGAGCCAAGATCTGATGATGATGACACGTAAGTCACTGATGTTGATAAAATAAAGTTACTCCAGAAGAGGAAAAAGCTATAAATGGACAGATTTCTTCTCTAATGAAAATTGACCCAGGAGGCTAAGTCATTTAAAACAAAATCCTCTCTCCCTTTGACTTTTCATGGTATAATTAAACAAAGAGGCTACGTCTACACTGGCCCCTTTTCCGGAAGGGGCATGTAAATTTCACGAGTCGTCGTAGGGAAATCCGCGGGGGATTTAAATATCCCCCGCGGCATTTAAATAAAAATGTCCGCCGCTTTTTTCCGGCTTTTAAAAAAGCCGGAAAAGAACGTCTAGACTGGCCCCGATCCTCCGGAAAAAGCGCCCTTTTCCGGAGGGTCTTATTCGGAGCCTCCGGAAAAGGGCACTTTTTCCAGAGGATCGGGGCCAGTCTAGACGCTCTTTTCCGGCTTTTTTAAAAGCCGGAAAAAAGCGGCGGACATTTTTATTTAAATGCCGCGGGGGATATTTAAATCCCCCGCGGATTTCCCTACGACGACTCGTGAAATTTACATGCCCCTTCCGGAAAAGGGGCCAGTGTAGACGTAGCCAGAAAGTATTAGCACCAAAATGGGTTTTACGTCTTGTTAAATTGCAGAATTAGGTCAACTTAACTTAGTTCTTGAAAATGCTGATACTAATGCTTTCTACACCATTAATATAGAAAATAACATTGGCTGACTCCACATCATTTACATTGGAGTTTTAGAGGAGCTGAAGAGTAAGAGAGAATGGGGGCAGGAAAATATTTAAATTTCATACCCAGTTTTTATACACCTCACAAAATATTTTTAAATTGATATTTTATGGGCTTTGAGAGTAGGACAGCTAATAAGTGACACATTTAACTAACATCCATTTTCTCGGTTTAAAACATTGTAGGAATTTTGAAGAATCTGAAGATGAATTGAGGGATGAGCTGGTGGAATCACTAGAAAAAGTGATAACTTCTATGTCAGAGGAAGTCAGAGAGGTGCCAATCCAATCAACAAACAAAGACAAACCAGAAGAAGAGAAAGCAAGCTTAGCTAGTGAAATTCATGGGAAACCTGATGAGGTTTTAGATAATAACACTGATCCATTTATTGCTGACATGTAATGGAGAAGGCAGTCAGGAAGCAACAATCAGATAAAATAGGAGGCTGTCTGCTGCTTCAAGACTTTCATAAGTTGATGGAAGATACAGCCATAACAGGGCTAATATTTTAAAAACAGGTGCCTGGAATTAGGTTCCCAATCTGTATTTAGGCACCTGTGGGCACTCATCTGAAGCAAATGCGAGCTGCTGGGCATGCTGTACTTTTGACAATCAGGCCATTTATTCAAGTAGCTAAAGTTAATGTTTTTTCTTAAGTCTCATACCAGAATGAAAAGCAAAGTCAGCTCCTGCTTGCATCTTTACTCGTCAATTCTGCCTCTTTATCCACTCTTTAGTACATTCCTAACTATTCTAAATGAATAAAGTGTACTCTTCCAGTTGTCATAGGCCCACTCCCCTAGCTCTCTTCCCCCAAATCCATCTGTTCTGTGAAGCTTTCCAGTCATATGTTGTCCTATACAGCTTGTAGCTCTTGCTAGTAAGCTAGATTTGCACAGCTCTTATTATATATAGCATCATTTACACTTAGGCTATTTTATAATGATCAGGGCTTGACAAATAATACAATCTACTCGCCACAGGCAAGTAGATTGTAACCCAGAAGAGCGGGGGTCAGGCGATCTGCGCCGGTCAAGTTTGCCAGACCAGGGAAGGTCAACGCTAGCCCCTCTGTGCAAGACCTGGCAGGGCTGCCAGCCTTGTAGGGCTTCTGGGGCTCCCTGGTCCAGCAACATCTGTGATCCAGTAGGACCACAGATGTTGCTGGATCAGAGTTTCCCAGTTCAGAGAGGTTTATCCTGTAGCAGCAAAGTTTACTGGTACCACTAGGGTGTTATGTGTATCAATTTCTAATTAGAAGTGCCATTATGTGCCAAAAAAAAAAAAAAAAAGACAGCTAGAAGAGGATAAAATATGACAGAGCTATTCCAGCTGCTATTTTCCTTTAGTCCCCTCAAATTTTAGATATAAGTTGTCTGGATACTATTTAAGTAGAAGGAGCATAAATAAAAAACTGATCAATAGTTTTTTCCTTTCACTTAGCTAAAATATAAAAAAACCTATGGTAGCCTATAGCAAGGTAGGCATTTCTGTTCAAAGCAGAAGTCTACTTCTTCAATGGTTTTACCAGTGTGTCTAGACTACTGAGTTTTTCTAAAAGTGGCCTTTTTAAAAAAAACTTCACCATCTAGACTGCTGTCACGTTCTTTCAAAATTAAATCGAAAACGCAGCATTTTTTTTTTTAAATTGGTAAACCTACTTTTACCAGGAAGAATGCCTTATTTCAAAAAAAGCGTTCTTGAACGCTAACAGTGGTTTTTCGAAAGAGAGCGTCCAGATTCCCTGGGTGCTCTCTTTCGAAACCCTTGTGGCTGTCTAGATGATCTCTTTTAAAAGAGGCTTTTTCGAGAGCTCTTTTGAAAACGCTGCTTTCAAAAGAGGTTTGTAGACTAGACATACCCTTAGATTGCTTCCATGTTACATGAGGCAGCAGTGAAAGCCTATTCCGCTGAATCACAAATATGGACTTATCTGATCAACTTTTCAATTTTCTTTAAGAAAATACCCAGGAGGATAGGAGAAAAGAAGTTGTCCTTAAGAGAAAGAAAAATGTTACAATAAGGGCAGCTGTTAAAAAAGGAGCAAAGGTCCTTGTATTAAGGACACTGTAAGATTAACCCTTAGTGAACATAATAGCTGAGGCTGCAAAATAGTAGGTTTAATCCCATTTGAGACAAATGTTAGGAAATGCAAGCAAAGAAACCTGTAAACAAAACTGTAAACTTTTCTTTTACCTTGTGAATGGAAGATACCTAATATAAAAACAGGTAGATTTATTTAAAATTTCAGTGAGGATCTGACCCTATTAAGGGCTGCAGCAGAAATACAAATGAGCATTCATCATGACAGTTTGTACTGAGAGCAAGTGAATATGTCACTTCAAAATAGTGTTTTACCATGAATACTGGAGAGATATTTGTCTTAAGCATCTGATTCTTACGAAAAAAATTGCTACAGCAAAGTGTTAATCTTTAAAAACAGAATCCCTCCACTGTAGCTTGCCAAATAACAGGCAGGGAAAACAGACTGATTTTAGCAAAGTCTTCCCAAAAAAACCCAAATCCATCAACTTTAAAATGAACTAAATATGAGGCCATTCCATGTGCTACTCTACTAACTCGTGAGAAAATATTAAACATGTAGTAAGTCTAGCAGTGCCCTGTAAGTTCACTGGAAAAAGAAAGTTAAGTTTCATGGAATGGGATTTCCTTTCTCCCCTAATAAAAATCCTTAAATGCAGAGAACCGATGTCCTAATAGAAGTATAGGATCTCTTTATTGCCCCATGATATCATAGATTAAAAAAATATTTGTGGCATATATATACACAATAACTTACTTTATGCATGTACACAAATGACAATTACTTAAATAACGGTTCTACAGACAATAAGAATGCAACTTCAAACTCTTGGTCAGCAAATCTGTTCACAGACTGACGAGCATTTTCTCTGATTTTCAGCCTCTTTTCAGGAGATAAGGAAAGGATATGAGCCATAGCCTCAGAATAATCGTCCTCATTTTCTGCTAGAAATCCTGTAATATGTCCTTCATAGGGTACCACAATATCTAGTTTGGGACCACCAGAATTGTGAGCCAGAATAATTGTGCCAGCTGCCATACATTCAACTATTCCTGGAAAGATACAAAATGTGTTATTAAAAATACAATTCTCAAATGTTCATAGAGCTAGCGGGACTCGTTCGGTGGAAGCATTTTTTCCCAGTGATTTTTTTTTCCAAAATAGATACTTCTCAACATTTTGTAATGGGTTCAGTGAACAAATTTCAAAATATTTTCAATAATTAACCAACACCAAAATGTTCATAATTTTTTGGCAACTAAAAAGATGAAGATTTCAGCTAATTGGATAAAAATGAAGTTTTACTGAAAACAAAACTGTTTGCTCTCAGTTTTTTGGTGGTGAACAGAGGGAGACTGGAAAACCAGTTTTCTGTTTGTTTTTCCATATCAATCCTGCAAAATTTTCTAGAAAGATAACAGTTTTTTAAAATGGTGTCATCAAAATTTCTTTCGGAGGTGAAGGGGGAAGAAGGTGTATAGAAAAAAGGTTGCACTGCACTAGGCATTGCTAACCCAAGGGACTAATGACCGCTCAAGTCCAATAGTTCACTTTCAAAGACTACAAAAGTGCTGGAATTAAATGATAAATAGCATTTGTATATGATCACCAAATATTACACACCAGTCCTCAAAAGATATTCTGATTACTGCATTGTTGCAGTTCTAACTATTTTAAATGCTGCTAGTGCAAAAACTGCCAGAGGTAGAAAATAATGCTATAACTATATCCCAAAGCTTGTAATCATATTTTCTAAAAATAAAAGGCCCTGAAAGGTGAGCTGCTAAATGATCCTGCAATTTTGGTCCACAATCAAGTGGCGTGTATACGTGTTATGGCAGCCTTTGGAGGGGGGAGGGTGTGTGTGTGTGTAAATGAGCAAAATGATACTTGTGGATTTAGAAGTTCACTATCTTGTGATCTGCCAGGACTAGAATTCGTTTGATGGACAATTAGAAAAGCTTACAGATATTGAAGGTACTTCTAAGTACTCAGTCTAGACTAGCATTTTTCATCACTGCACAATCCTAAAAGAAAGCAGTGAACTATGTTACAATTGACACTGATGCCAATTTTTATCCCCTTATCCCAACAAAATGGAAGCATGACTGAAACGTCACAGCAGTTTTAGTAAAGGGAGAAATCTAATGGGGAAAGGCAAGAACGGAAGACAAAAACAGATTTTCACATGTGGAAACCAAGTGGATATCATAAACAAAGACTTGAGGGAAGTGAGAAGAAAGAATAGGCAAAGAAAGAGAATGAAAACTGTAAGAAGCAACAGAAAAGCTATCGATATTGAATGACAGGAAAATTCTTCTATCAGCTAGTGAGAGTATGGCTGTTTCTATACTGCCACTTTCAGTGCTAAAAATCTAGTCATTCAGGGATGTGAACATAAGAACGGCCATACTGGGTCAGACCAAAGGTCCATCTAGCCCAGTATCCTGTCTGCCGACAGTGGCCAGCACCAGGTGCCCCAGAGAGGGTGGACCAAAGACAATGATCAAGCGATTTGTCTCCTGCCATCTCTCTCCAGCCTCTGACAAACAGAGGCCAGGGACACCAATTCTATCCCCTGGCTAATAGCCTTTTATGGACCTAACCTCCATGAAATTATCTAGCTTCTCTTTAAACTCTGTTATAGTCCTAGCCTTCACAGCCTCCTGTGGCAAGGAGTTCCACAGGTTGACTACATGCTGTGTGAAGAACTAGTTTCTTTTATTAGTTTTAAACCTGCTACCCATTAATTTCATTTGGTGTCTTCTAGTTCTTCTATTATGGGAACTAATAAATAACTTTTCTTTATCCGCCCTCTCCACACAACTCATTTTATATACCTCTATCATATCCCCCCTCAGTCTCCTCTTTTTTAAACTGAAAAGTCCCAGTCGCTTTAACCTCTCCTCATATGGGACCCGTTCCAAACCCCTAATCATTTTAGTTGCCCTTTTCTGAACCCTTTCCAAGGCCAAAATATCTTTTTTGAGGTGAGGAGACCACATCTGGACACAGTATTCCAGATGTGGGCGTACCATAGTTTTATACAGGGACAGTAAGATATTCTGTGTCTTATTTTCTATCCCTTTCTTAATAATTCCTACCATCGTATTTGTCTTTTTGACGCTGCTGCACACTGTGTGGAAGTTTTCAGAGAACTGTCCACGATAACTCAATCCAAGAATATGGGGGTAATTAAAATCCCCCATTATTATAGAGTTCTTTATTTTGGTATCTTCTCTAATTTCCCTCAGCATTTCAATGTCAGTATCGCTGTCCTGGTCAGGTGGTCGGTAATATATCCCTACTACTAATTTCTTATTATTGGAGCATGTAATTACTATCCATAGCGATTCTATGGAACATGTTGATTCATTTAATATTTTTATTTAATCTGATTCTACATTATCTTTCACATACAGTGCCACTCTGCCACCCACCCGGCCTGCTCTATCCTTTCGATATATTTTATATCCCGGTTTGATTGTGTCCCACAGATTTTCCTCATTCCACCAGGTTTCAGTGATGCCTATTATGTCAATCTCCTCCTTTAATACGAGGTACTCTAGTTCACCCATTTTATTAGACTCCTAGCATTTGTGAAGAACTTTAAAAATTTGCCATTGCTTATTTGTCTGCCCTTCCCTGATGCACTGGATTCCTTTATATGTAGTTGCTTATCTGCTCTGGCCCACGGTTTGTCCTCTCCCCTCCTCTCTTTCTGACTACAGCTTAAAGAATATCTATCAACGGAGTCTCCTCTAAGAGAAGTCTCCCTCCGATTTACGTGCATCTCTGCACCAATCGGCTTTCCCCCATCTCTTAGTTTAAAACACACTGGACAGTGAAAACACACCTTCCAGGCAACAAAAAACATTAGCACAGAAAAGCACCAGTATAAATGTTTTATCACTAGGAGCAGCAATCCTTGTGCTGAAGCTACCTCCCCTAATGAAGGGGGCAGAATATTTTTAAAGAGTCACTGCACTGCCCACATTACAATCACAGTGCTGTAACATGGACAGTGTAGACATACCGTGAGCTTCTAAACTGAACAAACAGGCTTTATGAATAGCATGGTCCTGTACCATGTGAGTTGCTACTTTTGTTTAATGTAGGCCAGGTCTGCACAACAAGAAAAAGCTGACTTAAGAGAGACACAACTCCATCTACGAGAAAGCATAGCTGGAGTCTATATACCTTAAGTCGACTTTCTGCAGAGTCCCCACTGGGGATGGGAGAAACTCATGTTGACTTTCCTTACTTCTCATGACCCTGTGGAATGCCAGGGTTGTCAGGGGGCGCCATCAGCGGTCAATTTAGTGGGTCCTTAATAGATCCACTAAATCAAACCCCAGATCGATCTCCATGTCAATGTAGACCTGCCCATAGTTTAGCAATGACTGATTACATTAGTTTAAGCTTGTGGAAGCCACATCCAAGTAAACAGTCCCTCCATTATGATGCAAGCTTGTCTCATTCAGCATACACGACAGAGAGGTATTGTTCGTCTTACTTCATTCCACAAATGGGGAAAGAGCAAGGCACTATTTGTGTGTCTCCTTCATGTTCATAAAGCAAGTCACCACTCCCACCTGAATTCAGATCCATACGCTGCTTAGAGCCAAGGAAAAGTACTCACCAATTCCAAAATGCTCATTCCACATGGTGTGTAGACCTATAGTTGCATCAGCCAGATATTTCTTTAGTTCCTCAAATGGAATGTTTACTTTGAACTCCACATTTCTCTCAACTCCTAGCTCTTCACAAAGCTTTTTAAGTCTGTTTACACGCTGCTCATCTTGTTGGTTACGACAGCCTCCAATCAGGATGAGCTTTGGCAAGATCTGCTGCCCCACAGTCTTCTTTTCCAAGAACTTAGCAAAGGCTCTGATTTGCAAAGGATGGTCCTTCTCAGGCCTGAACTGTCCTAGAGAAACAATGGAATATTCTGTGGTGCTCTTTTCCTCATGTAATGGAATATCCAGGAATGTCTGAACATCACAAGGTGGATACACAACACTTGTGCAAGCTCCAGATCTCCAGAGGGAAAGGATGTGATTTAGGGTCCATGAAGAATTAACCATAATGACATCACTACGAGAACCAACCAATCCATATACAAAAGCAAACAAGTAGTAATAGATGAGTTTAAATTTACTGAGAAGGGGATTCCTTGTAATAAAGGCTGCATTGTTAAATCTGGCATTCTGACTCCTAACCACAGAAAGCATGTCAGTGCTTATAGTTGGATAATGAACATAACACCCAACATGGCAACCTCCTAAGTACTTAAACAGAGGCAATGTGAAGGCATAACCCATTGAGTCAATGTAAACATCGGGAACATACTTCATAAGAGCTTCCCAACCAAGAAACACAGACCCTAAGCTTTGACCTAGCAAAGTGAAGTGGGGGTAAAGAGAGGCTTCCACAAGGTAACGTTTTTCTAGAAAAACAAATTTCACAGGATGAGTTAATTTGATGTTGAATCTTCTGAAAGCACCTTCTACAATCTGTTCTCCAGTGACATCTTTATCGCCAGTGTAGACAATATATATTGCATCCTTGTACCTGAAAAAAGTACAGTGAAGAATTTTTATAAATATTTGTCAAGTTATGCAAGTGAGATTTATTTCCTTCTCAAAATTACCAGAACAACAAACTTTGTGTCTTGGTCTTAAACTGCATTTTCTGGAGCCTTGCAATGATTTGATCTGCAAAAATGCATGGTTGTTTTTTGGTTGATTAAAAGAAATCAGGGATGTTAATTTTCAATTAATTAACTGATCGAATCGTCGATGGGATTTCCATTGACTATATGATTAGTCGATAAGGACTAGCACAGCTTTCCGTCTTTGAAGTGTACAGGAGCCCCAGCAGGCGTTCTTGTGCATTTCAAAGGTTGCAATGAGGGAGTGCTAATGGGAGCCGGCTTAAAAAGATTTCAAGGCTTGAAACACCGTGTGGAGCTCCACATGGCGTTTCAAGCCTTGAAATCTTTTTAAGCCGGCTCCTCCCAGAACCCCGTTCTCTTGCCCCCCTTGCTGTCTCTTTGATACAAGCAGCGGTGGTGGGGGTGAGGGGAATAGTCGATTAGTTACTTAGATCCCTAAAAGAAATCATGTTGTTATTCAGTAAAATTCAACTTGAAGGCCAGGATATTTGACAATCAATGTGTCACAAGGGAAAAGAGGTTTTAGATGCAGTATTTTGAATGCTTCAGGCAATTTTGGATTAGATATAATCTACTCAAATGTATATTGGAAGCTAAAAAATTGCATACATAATACCACAAAGTATCAGGAAAAATCAAGTTTCAGTATAAACTTGCCTTTGCTATGCATGTGCACTTACTTTTTCTGCAGGGCTCTAATAGCACACCATAGGACTCTCTCTCCTCCACCACCTGCATTGCAATACGGATGAAAAAATGCAACAACCAACTGATGTTTCCCATCTTTTCCTGTTGAGGCCAACTGATTTTTCCTTCGTTGTACCCACAGCCGTATTCCCCACAGTAGTACAACCAAACACAGACATAAAGCTCCACTTAGAAACAGGCCAGGGATGAACAATGAGCACAGCAACCTGGAACAAGCAGGGGAAATTTAATTAAAACATAATTTAAAAAAATAATATCTTTAAGAAAATGACTAAATACAATAAGTACAACATATAGTTCCAAGACAATTTCTCGAGTTATATACTTTCAGGGTAGTTAATATCAGCACCTTGTTTTAACGGCAAGTTTATTACTGGCTTGTTTTCAAATCTCTGCTTGGAAGACCACAACAGAAAAAATGATTACAACTAAGCTATGGAGGTGATCTAAAATTATAATAAAAGTAAAAATTCTAAAATTTATCTCTGACATGACTCCACAGAGTATTGCAAAAACATACTGATAGGGCAGGTTATTTCATCCGTCTCTTCCTCCTCACCTGTTTGTTCCATCCACCTGTTACAGCTTCTTATAACCTAAACCAGTGATCACCACCCAGTCAATCATGATGACCTGGTCAATCCTGAGGAGTATCCCAGTCTATTGTGATCTCTGCTGGTGGAATGAGGCTGCTGCTAAGGCAGGCTTTCTGATTGCCTTGGCTCCATATCGGAAGTATTCAGCATAGCCCCATTGGTTGAGGATGCAAGAGGACAGGAATTTCTGCACATTGTTCCTGCCGGCAAGCACAGATCCCACACAGCTCCCATTGGCTGTGAACGAGGACCTGTGGCCAATGTGAATGAGGGCAGTGGTGCAGCAAGAGAAGGGCAGCACGCAGAGCCACATGCCCTCCTCCCCTGCTGACCGGGGCCTTCTGGGAGCGACATGGGCCTGGGACAGACAGGGAACTTGCCTCAACTTCGCTTTGCCACCAACTGCGAGTTGCTCATGGTAGGAGACCAGAACCCCTGTCCCTTCTTGCATTCCAAACCTCAGCCCTGAGCCCCTTCTCAGAGACAGTATCCATTCCTGCACCCAAAGCCTAGTTCTGCTGGCTTCCAGCCCCTGCCTATAAGGCTCCTGGACTCCCCACGGACAGAAGCTGCTCCAGACATGATAGCAGCCCCCTGCTTGTTGTGTGTCTGGATTCTCTGCTGATAGAGGCTGCTCCCGACAAGAACAGTCTCAGCCATGGTGGGCCCCCTGGGGGAGCTGGAGCAGCAGGCAGGGTGCTGCTCCAGCCCCCCCAGGTAACTGGTTAACCAGAATCAGTAAGCATCAACTGTTTAGGGTTAACCTTTCATATCCCCCCTCCTGTACCCCATTTGCCTACCCCAGGTTCAGCCTGGAGCCCCTCTTACACTGTAATCGCCTCGGCCTCAGCCCACAGTCAACACCCCTTCCTGAACTCCAAATCCCTACCCCAAGCCAATGAAAATGAGTAAGGATGGGGAAAGCAAGAGACAGAGAAAAGGGGTTATAAGATGAAGTGGGCAGGGCTTTGTGCAACGGCAAGGTAGATACTGGGTCACCCTTAAATTCAGAATGTGATCTTGGCCATAAAAAGGTTGGAGACCACCAACCCTAGATTATGAACTCTGTGGGGCCAGGACAATGTACAATGAATTTATTCCACTTTCTATTGAAGATATAAAACTATTGTACCAACAGCAAACTAAGCATCTACATAGTCAGTGTAAGCCCATGTTATAGATGGGGAAAACTAAGGTACAGAACTATTAAGTGACTTGTCTAAATCTGACAAATGAGTGAGAAAGCTAAGGACAAAAATCTGCATTCCATCTT